CTGCAATCCTTGACATTCTGCAGCAATCACAGATAATATGTGTATATATATACACCACACACACAGACATACATTTATCTACAAACTTTATGTATAGAAGAAATGGGGGGAAAAGATTAGAAACCACAAGTACAAATGAGGGCAGAGAGAGGGGCCATGCTGACCTCCAAGAAACCCGTGTGCTGAGACTCTGATTGAAGAGTGTTTACACAGAGCACATGGAAGGGTGCCTCTCCCTAGGAAGGCTGAGGGGTCAGTGGGGACTAACTCATCGACAATTCAGTTACTCAATTCTGAAAAGGAATTTGGGAATCTGGGTCTTGCCTAAGCAGCCCTCACTGGGCTGGGCTTTGTGCTGGGCAGTTCACCAAGACACTGGTGGTTTAAACAAACACGCCAGCCACTCTGCACCTATGGCTGTCTGCTTTCCTGAAGACTGCTGTTAGCATGTGCTGTGGGGTCAGCTCTGACCCACAATGGCCCAACGTGCAATGCAACACAACCCTCCTTGCGCCCATGCCACCGTCACTATCCCTGTGTGCCCGAGCCCATGGCTGTAGACACTGTGTTAATCCATGCGGGTGAGGAGCTTCAGAGGAAAAGAGGGAGCCTTTCTTATATAGAGTGACACGGTGGCTGCGGCCAGAAAGAGGAACCCGCCTGCCAATGGTGCAGGACTGGGCCAGCTTCCGTTCGGCTGGACACAGGGTCGAGACGAGTGGGTGCTTATTTGGTGGCACATAACAACAACAACAACAACAACGATGATGATGGTGATGAAGACAAGAATAAATTGAAATGAAGAGAGAGTCAAAACTCATGTTGAACAGGCAACTCAGTAATAGACATCTTCAAGATTTTATTCTTACTCACAAAACCTTTAGGAAGATGGTGTCGAAAGCGAAGAAGGAAGCCCCTGTCCCTCCCAAAACTGAAGCCAAAGCAAAGGCATTAAAGGCCAAGAAGGCGTCCTGAAGGGCATCCACAGCAAAAAAAAAAAGAGGATCCGCACGTCACCCACCTTCCGGCGGACTAAGATGCTGAGACTCCCAAGACAGCCAGATATCCCCGGAAGTGCACCCCCAGGAGAAACAAGCTTGACCACTATGCCATCATCAAATCTCCCCTGACCACTGAGTCAGCCATGAAGAAGATAGAAGATAACAACACACTTGTGTTCATTGTGGATGTCAAGGCCAACAAACACCAAATTAAACAAGCTGTAAAGAAGCTCTATGACATTGATGTAGCTAAGGTCAACACTTTGACTAGGCCTAAGGGAGAGAAGAAGGCCTATGTTCAACTTGCTCCGGACTATGATGCTTTGGATGTTGCCAACAAAATTGGGATCATCTAAATTGAGTCCAGTGACTAATTCTAAATACAAATTTTTCTCACCATAAACAAAACCCCCAAAACAATCAAACCCCCCCTACCTATTAACCACAAGAAGCCTGATGTAAAGTGTGTAAGCCTATCAGAAGCTGCTCTGTGGCACCGTCAGTTTTCTTATCCAGCGAGGAAAGGGTGCTGGTCAAACCTCTGTCTTCTAACATAAGCCCTCATGTCTGCGGGTGAGTAGAGAGAAAAGTTATTGGCCAGAACTTCCTTGACATCAGTGAATTTCAGATTTAGGAGAGGAAGTAAGGTTCAGTCAATCACGGTACAGCATCTGTATCTTTCCTTTATAAACCTCATTGTACTTTCTTTGAGCTATTTACTTTGTCTGGAATCCAACTGGCTTCTCTACATGTGGAATAACTGTGCTTTCTGACTAAAATGTTTACTCACATTTCAGTGAGTTTTTGTCTTTGAGAAGTTCGCATAAAGGAGTGAAGGAGGTGCATGAAGGACTCGGTAAGATGTCTCTCAGAGCAGAAGAGGATCTATGAGTTGGAACTGACTGACCGCTGACCCTGCCTTGGGTGACCGAGGCTGTAAGTCACCTTTCTCCCAGGGAGCTTAAAGGAAGAATATTGCAGTTGCCCCACCATCCCCAAGATTGATCACTTCCTGAGAAACTTGATAACGTCAAAGCTGGTCATATCAAAGATCAGATCAGACAGTGGCTCCTGATAAGAGTCTGAGCTTGGGAAAAAAGTGCTAAAACCTAACTTAATTAACAACTCAAATTCCGAGAAGTACCATCTTAGTTCTCCCCAGGACACCTATAAAAAGGAAACCCCCCCAAACTGCCCACACTATTTTTGATCCTGTCTGCATGCCATGCAGGTGGGTCACTTGGTGTCCCTCTCAAACCGTGCAATAAAGGCCTGTTCGTTTCTTGGGACCAATTCATGCCTTTATTTCTCTCCTCTGTGCCCCTCACGCTCTTTTTTTATATCTAAGAGAGCTCACTGCTTGTGAATTGTGGCCTTGTTGACAGCTCAACTCCCTACAGACTACAGCACCAGAGCAAGATGAGGAAAAGAGTCACATTTATTATTCCTTTTCTATAAGAACCTTCGAGACTCAAAAGAGGGGATATTTATAGAGACAGAACAGACTTGTGGTTTCGAGGGTCTGAAGACAGTGGGAACACAAAGAGGAACTGCTTAAGTGACAAAGTCTTCCTTCTGAGGTGATGAAAATGTTTTGAAATTGGTTAGAGTTGCTGGTTCAAACTCAATCCACCGAGAATGTACTCAAGAGTTCATTTTGAAATGGTTATTTTCATTTTGACAACCAAAAAAAAAATAATAATGCCTGATGGTGCAGGAAGTGTCAGAAAATGGTGTCAGGAGGTGTCAGAGGAAGCTAAGTGACCACTGCTAGAAGGATGTGGTCAAGTGCTGAATGCAACTGACAGATGGGCAGAGATAAGAGCTTCATGTGTCCACTGTGTGATTCAGCTCAGTCGTCAGCGCTTGCCAGTGTCAGAAGAAGGTGGACAGAGAAGTCACCTTCCAGTGTGTGAGGAGGACAAGTTGGAGACTGCCAGTGATGGGTGGTATAGATTCAGAATTCTCTAAATATCAGTTATAAAACTATAGTTTCATAGTTATAAAACTGACATTTTCTCTACGCTGTAAAACTAGTTACCTTGTCTTACCATTCTTTGTTTCCTTTCTTTAGTTATGTAAAAGTCGTTTAAGTGGTCTGTTTACTAGGAGAGGAAATGCATCTTTCCTACATCAGAGTTGACCTCTTTGAAACTTTAAATTGTGTCTTAATCTGTCTGTTTTCCAGGAGGGGAGGTGCGCCTTTCCTGAGCCAGCCTTTATCTTTTCAGGGCCTGTTTTTCTCAGTCATGTGTTAACTCTTTTGCAGGTTGCCTGTTTACCGGTATCTGTGTGTGAATGTTGTGGGTTTTTTTTCAGATGTAGAAATTCTTTGATTTTACTCATACAAGTGCATTTTTAAGTGAGTTGGAGTCTCACCCTGGTATAAAAGGCTAATGACCACTCCTAGACGGGGAGGCAGTTTTTGATGGGAACTCGCCGTTCTCCCAGATCTGTAAGAAAGTGCATATGGATATGTCAATCCTTCTGTCTTATTGGCAATTGACTGTGGAAAGAACCCCTTGTGTTCAGCAACACTAGTAGGGATTTTTATTATTCTTTTTAAGCCAGAATGGTATTTTAGGGAAATTGGTCTGGAGCTCTAGGGACCCAGAAGGGTAATATTTGTGTACTTTGATGTCAATGCTACCTTAACAGCAATGTTCAGTGAAAGATCAGGATGACCCACATTGAGTTTCCCAGGCCATCATTCCTGTGGGAACACATTCCCCAGTCTTTCTCCAGCGGAGCTGATGGGTAGATATGGAATGCCAATGTTGTGATTAGTGGTCAAGCACTGAATTGTTGTCTTGTACCAGGACTCCAGTAAAGGTCTTCATTTTACATGTGAACTCTGCTAGGCTACCACGTCCAGCTCTTTGATTAAATTTTAGATGTTGCTCTGAGAGAGTATCTTGTAGATATGATTAATGTCTTCACAATTCGACTTTAAGAAGATGACCCGAGATAATATGCACGGGTGCAATTCAAGGATTTAAGAGGAAAAAAAACCAGATTTTCTGGGAAAGGATTCTGTGTCAAGTTTGTGACATAGACTCCTACTTGAGTCACCCACTTATTTTATACTTATCTTTATGATTTAAGACTCAAGATTGCAACATCAACTTTGGTCTTAGTTTTCAGCCTATTTGTCCCGGAAGTTAATCACAGATCTTTTCTTGTGGCATCTTTGGGCAGACTTGACCTTCCAACCTTTTGTATAGCAACTGAGTATGCCAATCGTGTATGCCACCCACAGAGTCCTCATTAAACACAGAAGGACCAACGTTTAGTTCACTCTGTAGGCACTTGGAGTAAAGATTGCTTTTCTAAACCTACTTCTGCTGCTGTTGTTGTTGTTGTTAAGTGCCATGGAGTTGTAGATGACTCATAGCAACCCTACAAACGAAAGTCTTGAACATAAAACTTTCCTCTTTCTCCAAGGTCATAGAGTTTCCAAAGGCAAGCTTTTTTGGAAGTGGTTGCCATTCCTGCTTCCAAGCTTGTTTTATTTGGGAGATCCACAAAAACCAGGCTTAAAGGCTGCAGGCCTGAGGCCCCAAAAGCCTTTTTAAATATGAGGCCAAATCCAATCCGCTCATACCTTGTTGAGAGCAAAAGCCACGCCCTAGTCTCAACCCCAAACCAGAAAACACACCTTTGCAGAATTCTGCCAGTCCACTCATCTTCCCATCCCAGAAATAGCCCCAGACTGGTGGCCAAAAGCCTTTTTAAACACGAGGCCAAACCTACTTCTAGATAAGGCAAATTTTTAGACCCTTGCTGATGAGAAGAAAGAAAAATGCATTATGTGTTTCTAATAAAACTTTATTACAAACAGTTGGCTAATACTGAACTGCTTTTCCTTCCTCCTCTATCAAGTGGACCCTGTTATTTTCTGTGGTAATTCCCCTCTCAACAATTCTAACACAGAGCCAGCCCAGACCCAACACAAGGATCAAGTTTTTTATTTCTACCTGCAGCCCCCATAACTCTTGGTCATGTGTTGAAGGGTCTTCGTGTTCTGACCCTTCTCCTGGGTCCGTGACTTGGGGCCTTGATGACTTCCTCTTGAGGCCTCTTCCTGCCGAGCCATTCCCCAGCCAGCAGCCCTATGATGGCCACCATGATGAGGACAGTCACGCCAATCCGAAAGAGATTCTGGGCACGGTGATCCCAGGAGGTGAACTCTGGGGTCAGAAGGACAGCATGGACATTGCCAGGAACAGACACACATCCCCTCTCTGCACTTGTCACCCCCTCTCCTTCCCAAGACAAGCTTCTTCACCAGCTGCACACTGGAGCCAGTGCTCACTTACCATTTTGGAATCCTGTCTCTGTGGCTGATGAATCGAGGTCCCAAGGGTATTCTTCTGAGAAGCAGGGGAACAAAGGAGTGAGGAAAGGGTGTTATTAGACCCCTCCATCGCTTCTTCCTTTGGGTAGATTTCACGAAATTCTATAGCTTTTAAGTCTCCTTCGTACAGCTTGGGTTTCAGTGGCTTCATTTAACAGACGACATGGAAGAGTTAAGACCGGCAGGCCTGGCCTCTATCTTCCTATTGCCTTTTAAAGAAGGAGGACCCCCATCTCTTTGGGAATATAGCTTTCTAACAAATCTATCTTTACTATTTTACCCTCAAAAAAGAAAAAAACACCCATGTTTATTGTGGCTTTGTTCACAATAGCAAGGAGTTGGAAATAACCCAGGTGCCCATCAACAAATGAATGGATAGAGAAGCTGTGGTATATTCACACTATGGAATACTATGCTGCATTGAAAAACAAGGAACTCATGCAATATTATTAAAAATGGATGACCCTGGAGGACATTATGTTGAGTGAAATATCTCAGTCGCAAAAGGACAAATACTGCATGGTGCCATTGCTGTAAAATGGACTGATATCAGGGTTGGGGTAAAACTGAGAAAAACTGGATAAATTGCATATACTGCATTGAAACAGATGAGGGAAAGAATAATTTAAAAGTGATGTAGGACAGGGTATTATGGTAATCACAAGAGTCCACAATTAAAGTTGCATAGTGGAGTGTAGTTGGGGCAGTGGTAGGCGTGCGGGGGTGGGGGGGATTGTATATCAAAGAAAGAATTTTACTTTTCAAAGAGAGGAGCAAACTGCGGCGGGGGGCCAGGGGAAAGGGCTGGACAGGGAGAAAAGTACAACAATGAATGAGTGGAAATCCAAAATCTCTGTAAATGTTCATTAAAATTACTAAAATTTAAAAAAAGGGGGAAAAAAACAACAAAAAAAGAAAAAAAAACCCAAGACAGACTCAAGAAACACTTAAATTCTAGAATGAATATATTGTACATCTTCATGCACGTTGTCTCTTAGCCAAGTCTCATTTTCTTTTTTAAAAAAATTTTTAAAAAATTTTATTATTTGTGTGTACCGTCAAATCAGATCTGACTGGTACAGGAGGAGATTGTCCCTCCTTACCCTGCAGAGCATCTGGTGGATTCGAACTGTGTGCTTCTGGGATTGCAGTGCAGGTTCTTGACACTAGGCCACCTCATTTTCTTTATATCTCTTATTCCTTCTTGTATTGAACAAAATTTAAAGTCTTACCATTTTTTACTTTCAGAGTTGTAAATGAACTACCACGCAGCACAAGCTACCATCTTGATGAGTCACCATCACCCCTAACGCCTCCCTCAACCCTACGTTCACCATCACCCTCACCCTCACCCTCACCTGGAAATGACAACCCTCTCCTCTCCGAGCTGTTCTCTTACCATCCTGATTATCTCCCTACCTTAGCGGGCTTGCAGTGGACATCTGGTCTCTCTAGAACCCTCTTTCTCCAAACAGACAGAGATTAAACTCCCTTAAACCTTTCTCGTGTTGCCCAGATGGCTCCTTCCTCAGGACGCCAGACTTGACAAGTCTGATATTATTCTCTTCCACCCTCCCCAAGTGGCACGTCCGGTCACCCGCCTCCTGTTCTGCGTTCCTCACCCCGTGTGATCATCTGCTCTATGGATACTCTGTAGTTAGTTCAGTTATCCTGATTTGGACTCATGTTTGATGTGCTCATGGGAAATACAAGCCCCATGGCTACAAGACAGGTGTCTATTTGGCTGACCAGCATAGTTACAGAATTCGGCAGACTCTGGGAACGCGATGGAAGTGTGAATGGAAACCATGCTTGTAGTATTTTGGGAGGCCCAATTCTAAACGCAGAGGCATCTATTACTCAGGGAACTCTGGTGGCTTAGTAATAAAAAGTCGTGCTGCCAACCCAAAGGTACGCAGTTCAACTCCATCAACTGCTCTGACGGAGAAAGATAGAAAGATGCGCGATCTTCTCCTGTGGGATTAACTGTCTTTGAAAACCTGCCGGAGGGCCAGTTATAGGTCAGTTTTGACTCAACGATACATAACAAGAACTAACTGCCCTTCTCCCCGCAAACTCAGAGGCGTCTCTGACTCACCATCAGAAGAAGAGGGCTCAGCGGGTGAAGGACTGGTGTTTCCAGGGAATCCTAGCAATGGTGACAAGAAACATACTAGCCAGTGTGGGCTTCTTCGGGGCTATGCATCTATTAGCATCCCTGGTTAAAATCCCCAATGTCCTCACGCCCGACTGCTGAGCAGAAGGTTGGAAGTTTGAATCCAATCAGAGGTGCCTGGGAAAAAGCCTTGGAAAGCTACTTCCAAAAGACCAGCCCCTGGAGAGACCCAGTGGAGACCAAGAGCCGTGGTCTCCTCTCTGACACACTTGATTTAGCTCTTGTGTTCTCCACACCCCATGTCCCCTGGTCCCCTACCCTCTAGGAAGACCACTGGCCTCTAGGAAGTAGCTGCCCACCTGCCCCGTCATTCACTGGGGCTACTTCGGGCCCGGGGAGGATGTGGGAACCATCGGGTCACTGTCTCACCTGTGTGCAGAAGCCTCACAGGCTCACTGGGGAAAGACCACACGAAGTCATTGTAGGAGCCGTAGCACCTGTAGGCCCCTCTGTGGGCTGGCGTCAGGGGGCCCAGCGGGAAGTCTGCCCCTTGACTCCCGTATCTTTTCTGAGGACGGTTGGAGCTTCCCTCCTTGAGCAGAAAGAAGGTGCTTGTGGCCTTCTCCAGACGACACTGGAAGGTGACATTCTCTCCTGGGCCCACCTCAGGCCTGGGCTGCATGGAGAGGGTCGGTGTGTCATACATCCCTGCGAGAAGAAACCACAGGAGGGCGGGCAGAGTCTCTTTCCCTCCTGCAGCTGAGGGTTTCTTCAACCGTACCCTTTCAGAAGATGTGCTGGGACCCTAGACTTTATGCCTGCGGACACAGTCTCATTTGAGAAGAGTGTTCCCGTTGTTCTATTAACGAGACCACACGGGCTAGGTAGTGTCTTCCACCAAGCACCCTTGTTTGTTTGCCTGTTTTGTAAACAGGTGGACAACCATCCACCATCACCCTTTCTACACGGACACTGTGGGGCCCTTAACCAAATTCTTCATCCTTCTCCAGGTTGGGCTTCCGCCACGGGGAGAGAAATCCCAATGTGCCCGGAGGGTCTCTGCTCTGGTCGCAGAATTCAAGGCCAGTAGCTCCTCCCACCCCCACTTTAGAAGGTGGGAAGTCTGAAATTGGGGTACCAATTGTAGGGGAAGGTTCTTTCAATCTGCACTGGGGAGAAAACTATTCTTGGCTTCAGCTTCTCGGGCCTGGTGCTCCCAGACTCCGCGGCCATCGCCCCATGATGTCTAACATTGCCCGGTTTCTGTCTGCTCCATCCAGTGTCCGTTTTGATGCTTTCTGTCTCTAGAGTCAACCCTAAAGATGCAGAGTACACTGGGAAGGGAGCTGTGGTGGCACAGTGGTTGGGCGTCCAGCCGCTGAACTCACCAGTTCTGTGTGGGAAGAGGATATGACAGTTCCTGTCCACGTGGTGGATTACAGCCCCGGAAAACTTAGGGTCAGTGCTGGTCTATCTTACAAGGTCCCCAAGAGTCAGAATTGATTTTAGGGCAATGCTTTTTTCTAGGAAGCCAATACTAAATATTTGTAATAAACAGAATGGAATTCTATTTCAGGATATGGGAGAGGCCCGTTTCAAGCTAGAGTTCATCCTGAGGCACTGAGGCAATCCTTAAGGGTTTACCAGATTCTTGCATTTGCAGGCCCTTCCCTCCTGAGTTTAGGGGAAGGTTTTTCCAATAGAAAGAGCTTGGCTTCATTTGCGTTGAATTCTCTTTGTGATTTACTTCCTGATGATTTTCAATAAAGATGCAGGGAAGCTGGAATGGCGGGCTTCAGTGGAGAACTGCTGGCCCCCTGTTTTTCACGCTCTCTGTTCTAGCTCATTCCTGGCTGGCTGTCTCATTATTAATAATTATAAAAATACTTTACCCTCGGTCTTCTGCAACACTTTTTGGTATTTCCTTCCCCCTCCCCTTTTATTCTTCTTTTTTGACTACATGGATATGGTCTTGTTAATATGATAAGAAGAAAAAAAAAGCTCTAGTGACAGAATAGTTAAAGTACTTGATGGCCAAAGGTTAGGGGTTCTAACCCACGAGGAAAGACTTGGTCTTTAGCTCCCATAAAGTCCTGGAAACCGGGTGGGTCAGTATTAACCTATCCTATGGCCTCGGCATGAATCAGAATCGACACAACAACAACATAGCGAAAGATCCTATTCCCAAATGGGACTCCACCCACAAGTACAGGATTCTAAAGCACTTTTGAAGAGACACCATTCAGTCCTTAGTGTCTACTGAATCAGACACTCTGGAATCAGGATTTTATGTGCAGTTTTATACGACTGATGTGGAATGAGTCCCTGTGTCACAGTGCCCTCTGTACCACAGTTCTTCTATCTCTAACTTGATTTTCTCAAGTTTTGGGAGGGAATATGTTAGTGTTTGTAAGGAACATCGGTGGGAGTGGGTTAACTGCTAACAGAAAGGTGGACAGTTTGAAGCCACCAGTCTTCCTGAGTTTGAAAAACAAGACAGTCAACTCCTGTAAACATTTTCAGTCTCAGAAATCCCCCTGGGGCATTTCAACTCTGTCCTATCAAAGTCATTATGAGTGGGAATCAACTCGGTGGTGGTGGTAGTGGTTGGTGGGGTGTCTGAGAACCCTTTTCCTGAGCAAATGTTGACTGGCCTCCCCCTCAGAGTGGTCTTCAGCAAAAGAGTGGTAGATTCCGAACGAAGACTCAGAACCTCCAGCCTCATTTGGGGAAGATGCCACGACCCACTCCAGACTTGGTGTGTTGGTTTGTGAGGTCTCTGTTGAAGGGGCACCATAGTTCAGCCTTTTCTATCCAGGCTTGATTTTGTCACCCATCACGGGTGGTGTTTTTGAGGACACTTCTCAGTAGCCCACCTTCTCACAAAGAACCATCTCTGAGCGCATCCTGGGAAACTTCTCATGTGGAGACAATACACTGAAGATTCTCCTCTCTCTCTCTCTCTCTCTCTCACACACACACACACACACACACTGGCTTGAAGGAAATGATGACACGATCCTGTCTAGACTCGGGCTGAGGAGATGGCCCCCAACAGCAAAGACAAGCTCTTACCTGTCACCACCAGGTCCAGGGGCTCACTGCTCTCCGACCAGAGCTCCCCACTCAGGTAGACGCAGCTGTAACTGCCTGCAGTCTGTAAGGTCATGGCTGGGATGGAAAACCGGACTCTGCTCATCGAGCCGGGAGCCTTTGGGTTCATCAAGGCCCAGATCTGCCCCTTGAAAAGCAGGTGGTACTTCACCGCCTCCCGCGCGCCCTGACACCAGATGGTCACCTGCTTTCCCCGGGGAATTATGGGCTTGGGGGTGGCCCAAATGAGAGGTTTCAAGAGAGTATCTGAAACAGAATCAGAGATGGGAGCTTCAGATGACCCTCGCGTCCAGCCGCCTTACCTTCCATTCAGCTGCCGGCCTCTACCTCTCCAGCCAAACCACCCCCTTCCCTTCTGTCTCCAGTTCTCTGCTGGATACGTGGTCGGAACCCAACACAGCGCCGAAAGAAGGACTCACGGTGCTGAGAGTTGATCACATGGCTCAGACACAGCGCTGGAAGAGAAGAAGAAGCAGCGTTACTCCAGCCTCACCCAGCCCTCTAGCTCCTGACGTCCTCCTCCTTCCATGCAAGAGCTCACCAAGGCAGAGCAGGGCAGTGAGTGCAGGTGGCATGGCACCGACTCGGCCAGGCAAAGGTGCAGCTGAAGCTCAAGTCCAGCGGGCCAGGCACATCTGCAGGATGTGGTGGGTGATGTTCCACGTCAACCACCGCGGGACTTTTGCACTGGTTTTCTTACAAGAAGGTTCACAGCTCTCCCTCCACCACCGACTATGGCACCTTCGATAGAAATGACTTGGCACCTCTGACACAACTGACCACACGTGTGGTCTAACGGATGTTGGCAGGCCTGGCTCGAAACTGGGTCACTTTCTAGATTCTAAAGTGTGAACGTTACTTAATAAAAAAAAATATGGGACAAAGTACAGAAAAACAAGCAAACCTACCTGAGAATCACACAACGGAACCCTGGAGGATTGGAGGATGGGGGAAACTCCAAAACTATTGCTTTGCCATAATCTTTAGACTTTAAACCCAAACTGCCTACCCACTGAAGTCTTATTTGGGAAAGAAAAAAAATGTTTGTCTTAATAAGTAAAGTCTGTCTCCCTTGAGCAGTGTGTCCTTTCAGAAAGTCATCAATGTGAGATCAAATTGACAACAGCAACTCTAAAGATTGGATGAGATGATTACTGGGTTATGAGTCTAGGTCAACGGTCATTGAACAAATTGGAGATAGATGGTGAGAATGTTTGCATCACTTGAAGAATGTACGAAATGTTTTACATGTGTTGTTGTTGTTGTTGATATGTGCCGTCGAGTCGCTTGCGACTCATAGTGACCCTATGTACAAGAGCCCTAAATGCTGCTCTGTCCTGTGCCAACCTCACCAACTCCAATACATTCATTCCCACCATCCCAATGATAAAAAAAAA